GTTTGAAATCTGTTCTAAGATTCAAGGGCTGAGTTACATGATCTCATGTCTTCTTTTGAAAGGCTCATGCTGCCTGGCTGGGCATGGCTCTGCGGTTGAGCATCGACCTAGGATCCAGGCGATTGGGGTTCGATTCCCGGTCAGGGCACATGCCCGGGTTGTGGGCTTGATCAATGACTCTCCCATCCTTGATGTTTCTATCTCTTTCTCTCTCTCTCCCTCTCCTTTCCTCTCTCTGAAATCAATAAAGATATATTTTAAAAAATAAATAAATAAATAAAGCTGGTAGCATTTTAAACCTCATTTAAAAGGCTTATGCTGAATATCACCTATGAAGTTAAGAGCTTTGCTATGTTTAACAAAGAATAACTCCTATAAATCGACATTTACAAAAAGAACAACGAACAAGGGATATGAATAGTAAGTTCCCAGAAAAGAAATCTGAATTATCTTAATGTCATGATTCTAAACTTCACTGATAATCAGGCAGTTGAATCTGTGATTCTGAGGCTCAGAAAAGAGGTCTGGTTTGTAGAGAGAAATTGGCAGTTGGTGGTATTGATGTGATTGAAGTCATGGGAATAGACATGATGGTCATGGAGAGACCACAGAGGGAGATGAAAGGAGAGCCAGCCCTGGACCAATTTCTTAGTAACACTGAATCATCGGAAGTTGAGTAGAGGAGGTCCACGGAGGACACTGTGAAGGAGGAAGTGGCCGGTTGTGTCAAATATCAAAGTAAGGCTCCAGAAGGCATTGATGTGGGGATGTGCAGGTCTTTGGAGACAAGTGTAGTTCAGTGGTTTGCTAGTTGTAGGGGAGGAAGTTGACTGGGTTGAATGGTGGGTGGAGTGAGTTTTCTTTGCCTAAGTGTGGTTTTGAAGGGGAGCAAAAAAATAGAGTATTAAGTTGTCAATAAAGAGTGTTCAAGGAGATTTTTTAAAAAAGAAGGGTGGTTCTAGAACTCTTGTAGGTGGTGGCTGGGCCCAGGGTTTTTTTGTTTTTTTTTTTTGTTTGTTTTTTATGCTGCAGTTATATAAATTGCTCTAGTTTCCCAGGGGCACAGATGGGGAAGCAGAATGCAGCAGAAATGGGGACAGTGGGATAGTAGAGGATGGGAAAGTCTCTGGACCTGGGCAACAAGATTGGGAGTGGGTGCTTTTTAAAGAGGGAGGACAGTCTTGAAGGCAGAGCCACTTCACCTCTTGTGTGTCCCTGTTGGGGACAGTTTTTACTACTAATCCCCTAGATGGCAATGGATGCTGTTCTGAGGAGCTGGCAAAAAAATATTATGCAAGTTCCAAAAATCCCCTCAGCAATACATTACTGCAAACAGATATTTACTGAGGTATTTGCCTTATTTAAACAGGCATAATAAAATGTAGTAAGAGCTTATTAGAATAAATTCATTTTTCAGTAAGATGCGACTTGTGTGAATTACAGGAATAACTTACTGATGAAAGTAAAGTTATAAAGCAACTCCTTAAGCCAGATTGGAATATAAGTGTGAAGAAATCTGGTTTGAATTCTGAGCTTTATGATTACAGTCTCAACAGTGCTATTTTTCTTGGTTCTGTGTGTTTTTGTGTGTAGCATCAAGAACGGAAGTTTGAATTGGATATGGAAGAAATGTAAATCATAGGAACTATAATATGCTCTGTAGCATCCATTAAAAAATAAGTATAGGGAGCTGTGTGTGTAAACATTCATAATAATGTAAGCATTGTGTATCATCTATTCATTATTGATCTTGTTCTCATAAAAAAACATGAATAAGTGACTGGAATAATGGTGTATGTTGAGATAATATTGCTAAGCTTAGCAGAGAGATGGCATTTTACTACTGTACGATAACGGGTGACCAATTTTATAATGATGTGAAGAAACAGGAATAGAAGCTAAAAATGAATTGGATTCCCATTAACAGTTTACATTAGGAATTATTTTCCATAAGGTAGACTTTTTTTGTGCGGTACCAGTTTGTCAGTGTTTCACGATGTGATCATGATGGCAAAATTAGCATTAATATCCAATTAGGGAAGGGAAATTAAAAGATTAGAAGGCTAAAAAGTGCCATCGTATGCTGGAAGGAATTTTTATTCTAATTGTAATGTTTCAAGTTAATAAAATACTGTGATTTTTTTTATACCCATGGGCATCATTTTGTATCCATGATCTTATATACAAGTTTATTAAAAGTTTAATTTGGATTGCAAGAAATTATTAGCTCATAATTACATCAGTTTGAGATATTTACAAGAAAAGTTAGCATGTTACATAAGTATTTGAATACATTAAAGAAGGAATGATTGGTTGCATTATTAAAGAACACTTCACTTTTACAAGGGTCGATTGTTACTGTACACTTGTGTGGTAACTACTGGGAAGTTTATGTTTATTTTCTCATTTAATCCTTACAACCACCCAGTGAAGGAGTCCCCATTAAAAGTCACATATGACCCCATAATAATGTGTAGAACGTTAAATAGCAAAGGCCATTCTCTGTAAAGGTTTGCATAATTACTGTCCAAGGTTTTAATGATTATGGCATAAATATTATGTAGTCTAATTATGGAGAATATTCTGAGGTTTATACCACTTATCTTTCTTATGTTAACCTTATGTTACCACTGTGAGAAGTCTGTCATTTGCTTTCAACAGTTCTTAGATAATGTCTTTGTTAAACCCTGTTCTTCAGAGCAAAATAATGATACTGCTTTTTGTAATTATACAACTATATTTATACAACTGAAAGAGTACTAAAAGTTGAAATGCAAGTTTCCCAAGTGCTAAGGAATGTGTGCGTGCCTGTGTATGTGTAATTTTTATAACATTCTTCACAAGTTTCGTCTTTATCTGGGCTGTATTTATTACTAAGGACAGTAATACTTATATCTATGTGCTTGAGCCCCAGTAGTATGTAACAGAGTCCATTGCACATAGTAGGAGCTTATCAATCCTGTTGAATCCTTTTATGATATATCCTCCTCTTTGTAGTAACAATTTAATTCAGATCCTCTGGAAAATTAATGTAGTTTCTCCTTTAAAAATTCCCGAGGAACCCTGTAGTCTTTTATTATTAATAGTAACTGCAAATGCTTCCATTTATAATTTAAGATTCACTGTTTCCTCTTCTTTTCTTTAGCAAAGTCACTTTTAAAAATATTTTCCTGATAAGTCAAAGGCTGCCTCACATCTTGTTGTAAAGGCCCAGTTCTCTTGTGAGCTAGGAGATTCAATGGGCTGAATGTTCTTATTTATCTCTTCTGCTTCCAGAGACCCTGTTAAAGTGATAGTAAAGGAATAAAAACACATAGATCAACAGCAAGAAAGAGTTGAAGAGGGACCAGCACAGAAAAGAAATTTCAAAATGCTTCTGGCAGCCTGAAATGTGAGGAAATCTTGGTGACTGCTAAGACGTCGTGAAGGCTGCCGCTGAGGGGGTCCCTCAAGGGCTCCAGACTTTGAATGCCAGGAGGGTGGGAGCCCAGGTGGGGCTGAAAATCACAGGATTTAACTGGGCGCCTGTAGTCCAAGCACTTCCTGGCCCTAGCTCGCCCCACCCCATTGGTACAGCCCATGTTTATATATGGTTTACATATGGTTATATTTTATGGACATATGTGTCTTTTTAAAATCCTTATAGCATCCTATAAGCAAAATGTTGTAAACACCATTACACTGATGAGGATGGAGTATATGAGAAATTGAATAAATGACTCAGCATCATATGGCCAGTGATGGCAAAGCCCGCCGCGGAGCCCAGATCCTCCCCACACCATGCCTTTGCTTCCAGCGCACCATTATGGTGTCCTTTTGTAATATCTCGGTTCCTTTAGTTTTGAGCTGGGAATCATGCCTTTGAAGCACTTAAACAATCTACCCACCACTTGAGTGTTGAACCTTTCAGAAAGGCTAAGTATCGGATGTTCACAGGTAGTACCCAGGCCCGCTGGCTCTTCATGTGATGTCAAGGTCAGAATCCCTGTGTGTGGATAGGAATCCGGGGCATGCTGATCACTTGTTGCTGATTTTGCGAAGCCTGTGGTGCCCTGGAAAGGCTTAGGGCCTTCCTGGGTGTGAATGTAATCTCACGAAGGCTTTGGAGAGCTATAGCTTGGGAGATACGCCAAGAAGTTACATTTTTCTCAGGTCTTGGGTTCCAAGCACCTGTAGAGTATTGGCTTTGAGGGTCTGATATTTCTTTTTTCAAAAGATGTCTCTGATACATTCCTTCCTTTTTCACAGAGCTGTCACCCCGTTTTGGGCCCTGTCACTTGTACTTAGTTATCTGCAGTAGCTTCTACCCTGGTTTTTCTGCCATTAGTCTCTTGTTTCCATTCAAGCCATTATTTTTTTTTATTGGCCAGATTCATTTCATGTAGAGATTTCCCGTTTATTGACTATCTTTGTTGACATTCTTAGCTGTCCACAATTTTATTCTGCAGCCCAACATTATTTCCCAGTGTTTTGTGCTCAGACTGTGTGGGATCTGGCTGAGGACTTCACTGTTTTTCTCCATTTCCTCCCTCACTTCATCACTTTCATTAGCCTGTGCTGTTCACTTCAGTCTGAAGATCCCTTCTTTTTCTTCTCTACTTCTATAAGCATTTTATATAATTCCGAGCTTGGTTTTATTTTCTTACCTGGGAAACTTTCTCTGATTCTTCTAGCCCTTATTGATCTCTTTCTTCTTGGGACCAACTGAATTACATACTTTATAATATCATTGTTGTTCACAGAAGTTTCTAAATAGGTTGTAAGGCTTAAGAATCTCCTATTTAATGCCCTTCATGCCCAGCAAAATCTAGGCGCCTGGTAGGTATGAAGTCACCCATTGTTGATAGATTTGCTGTTGTGATTTCAGTACTTAAGTACTTGGTGCTTAAAATTAAGAGAAGTATTGAAATAACACACATATACAGCAAAGTGCTGTGCTTTTAAGTTTATTTGATACTTGAGCGGTGTTGAAATATGTTTTTTCTCCTTTGTCTCACCAGCAATCAAAGAAAAGTACACAGACTGGACAGAATTTCTCATTCGTGATTTGACTGGATCCCGGACAGCACCTGCTAACCTCCTGGAAGGTGTATGTATTATTGTTTACAGCTATTCTATGTCTGAAGCTTCACAGTTATATGAGCTCAAACCTAACGGCACCTTTGCATATATCCTTCTGCAGGTACATGGGTACACACAGGTATCTATATTCAAAGAGCCTAACTTCCTGTTTTTTCCCTAAGTTACTTAGGTTACTGATTCTAATGGCATTGAAGAATCTTCATCTGTGGTGTAGTCAATAAATGGGGAATTGGCTTCTATGTGAACACATTTTAAAATAATACTATGTTGGAACATCTCACTATCCTGTGTGTTTAAGCCTCTATCCTATATTAGTGAATGTAAATAAAATCCTGTAGAATAACTGTTTTGTGTAGGTGAAACTAAGCATATATAAGCTTGGAGTATATTGATAAATGGTTCCATTAACTCTTCCATTCCGGACTCATAACCCTAAGATTTAAATACTTGTGTTAAGTAATAATTGAATTAACCTCTCTTATAAAAACAAGAGGAGAAATGACTAAACATATTTAAATGTGGTTAAGGTAATTTAAGGTACTGAAAAACAAAACAAAACAGTTTAATCTGAAATTTTGATGGTTCATTTGAAAATAATTTTATGATGAAATATTTTATTTTTATTATAATAATAGAACAAGAAGCAAAATGTATTGTGCTGTACATAATTATTGAGTTACCAAATCTGTTTGAAGAATGCCCCTGAAAAAGGGAAACATAATGAATAACAAGGAATATGGTGTGGATTTTGACAATATCATCATTTTCTTAACCTTAACTATAAGTTTCCCTCCTCTCATAAAAAATATTGATGCTTTGGAACACCACTGTCTAATATATTGAGTTATTTGGTTTGGTTTTATGAAAGTTTTGCCTGGTGTATTTGTTTATCTTAATGGCTACTGATTTAATTGTTTGGTTAACAAATCAAAATGATGGTTATTCACCCTTTTAAAAGGACAAATTGTCTTCCTCTTTTAGGTTTTTGTTTTTTTAAAAACATATTTGCCTATAAGGCTGGCTGAACAAACACCCTTTACATATGCTAACATATGCTAAGAAAGTTGCTTAGGTAGGACAGTAATTACATATATTCTCTAAACCAACTATCAGATTAACTGTAGAAATAACTTTACATAATAATATTCTAATTCAGTGTATATCATTAATGTGTACTAAACATGTCATCTACACATATTCATGCTTTATGCATATAATCAAAGTATGAGTGTGATTATTGCAGCAGTGGCCATTGTGAGATACATGTCTCTTGAGACTTGGTATAAACTTGTAGCCCCATGTTTGATGTATCTGTCTATTAGAAAAGTAGACATTCTGCTACCACACCTCTTCCAGCTCAAGGCAAATTTTGGTATAACTCTTCTTAAAAGCGTACTCATTTCTAACAAATGCAATTTTATCTGGGAAGGGTGATTTGTTTGGTGAGAACATAGCACAAACTGTTATTTCCTATTGACTTGTGATTTTTGTTGTTGGATAGAGTTGAGTAAATGGAAGTGTGTGTGGGAGGAGAGGGAAGGGGAGGGGGCGAGGACTGTGGAAAGGATGGGGGTGGAGGGAAACACCAGACTGTTTGCCAATAGCTTGGATGATGGTGTGAAAAAATATTATCTTCTGCTGTCATCTGTTTCCATGAGAACCTTAAAATAAAGTTTAAAATAAGGAGTTTTGCTTCTGTTTAAACAGCCTCTGCGAGGGAAAGGCCCTATAGACCTCATTACAGTTGATTCCTTAATAGAACTTCAGGATTCTCAGAACCCTTTTCAGTACTGGATAGTTAGTGTGATTGAAAATGTTGGAGGAAGATTACGCCTTCGCTATGTGGGATTGGAGGACACTGAATCCTATGACCAGTGGTTGTTTTACTTGGATTACAGACTTCGACCAGTTGGTTGGTGTCAAGAGAATAAATACAGAATGGACCCACCTTCAGGTAAGGGCCGAACTAAGCATTTGCTGTTGTGAATTATATGAGAAAAAGATGTGCTATTTTTTTGGGTGTGTCTCTGAAAAATTTATGAGCTCTGTGGTGTCTTGTACATCTGAGTATGTGAATATTAAGCGTTTTAACTTGAGTACTTTTTATAGAGATTGAAACCCAAGACCTCCATTAATAGTGTTCCAAAAGGAGAAAGTGTAGGAGATGGAGAAGTTGATCTAGTTCCTTGGCATCACTGCTTCAAAAATGAAAGACAACAGATTGGGATTTGGTTATATTCTCCCTCTTTCTTTGGAAATCTTGATAGTCTTGCAAGGAGGTTCCCAAATCTCCATCCGTCCATCCATCCATCCATCCATCCATCCATCCATCCATCCATCCACCCATCCATCCATCCACCCATCCATCCAGATATCCATCCATCCATCTATTCTCCATCTATCCATTCATCCATCTGAATATACAAACCAAATACTTACCATTGTATAATCTGTTCTGACTTGGAAAGAGCAAAGAGGGAAAAAAATCACCGTGCTTTTCCCCCTGACATATCAACGATTTTAATTAGCTTCAAACGCACTGCCAAGTGACTTTCTCTAGACTTAATTGGATAGAATAGTGCATTATGCTTTCTGACATACCTAACTGGGCAGTAATCTCAGTGTTTACAAATAATAATTCTTGAATGTTTACTGTGTGCCAGGTGATTTTACATCTGCTGTGTTGTTTATTTTGATTCCAAAAAAGTGCTGCATGCTTGTTGTGAATATTTCCTTTTACAGCAGAGAAAATTGAGACTGGGCTTAAGCTACTTGTCCAAGGTCACCCGGCTTTTGTAGGGGGGATGCATTGGAATTAAATCCCAGGCACCTTGCCCATTCCATTCCCCCTGCTGCCCATTACTGACCTCACCAAATTTTGCATGGGTAGCCTCAGAACCAGTTGTTGGATTCTTATGGCATTAATTATGCCAAGGAAGAAATACACATTTCTTCTCGAAATGCCGATCTTCATTCTGGTGAATTTTGCAGGTATACTGGAATCAAAGGCTCAGTTCTTTGCTTTATTAAAATTCCCAGAGATTTCCCTCCTGTATTAGTTGTCACTGTTAGTCTTGAGTAAATGAAGCTGAGGAGCTTTATTTCCTTTTTCTGTCACTCAGGGGCTTTAATTGAAAAAAACTTCCTGGTTCTGTATCTCATGAGTTTGCATTTGTGTTGAATTTGACAGGCGTATAGACATGTAACACGGTATTTTATGAGTGTTTGTTGTCAACGTTTTGAGGAGCAGCCAAGAAATCCATTTATACCCTGAGTAATTTTGGACTTTGATGACAAACAAAGGGCTTGTCAGCTTCTGAGGAGAGATCTAAGCTCCCTTTTGCCTTGGGAGTCATGTGCTGCAGGAGAAATTTACTTTGTGTGGAGAGCTGGGTGTATAAATCTCAGCTTAGTATCTAATTGCTTTATAAATTTTAGGGGAAACATATATTTGTCAGCGTAAAAATTTATAGCAAAGCAAAAGATTACTAGTAGCTTCTTAGGTTCTCTGAAATGTTCCTTTCCCGTGAAATCATGGGACTCGTACTCAAGTCAAGAATGGAAAGTGTCACGGTAGAAACTTAGGACATATCTGCAGATGAGATTTCTCCTTTTACACAATTTGGTGTCTTCATAAGATAAGAATAAATTGTGTGTATTTGTCTTAGTAATTTTCTGGACATAAGTTGTCCATGTGATTGAAGAGTTTGTGTGAGTCCTTAAAGACTTTGGGAGAGCATTCCTCATCCAGAAGTCATTTTCCCAACATTTAAATTGTCAGTAAGAAAGGTTATGTATGCGAAGAAGAAAATAAAAGGCTAAAGGACACTCCAAATGTGACTTTAGTTCTTCAAATGTAGTAGTTACAAAATGAAAATTGGATCCTGTTACTTTATTCAGCAGAACAGTCCCCTGGAGAGGCAGTTCTTACCTGTGTCTCCCACATGGGATCAGAACCCAGTACTCTGGGTGTGTGGAAATTGATTTCATGTCCCAGTGTGACTTGTAAAACTTATATGGTAGCGCTCTTTCCCTAACTGAAATATAGGTGGGAATAACATTTCAGACTTGCATAGAAAATATTAGGCTATTTTTTTTTTATTCCCCAAACCCCCTTAAATAAATGAAAAGGGTTCTGCATCACCTGTGGTGAGAGGCAGAGTTAGAAGGGGGTGGGGGACATGAGACAGACTTTGAGACAAGCCCTGGTGAGTTCTCCCTGCTCTCAGTGCCTTCTTGGCTGTGCACCCCACTGACACCACCACCATTGCTAAAAGTAATCATAGTTTTTCCTTTGGTTTCACTTATTCTTTCTACTTTTTAAAGGGTACAATGTTTACTTTTTAAAGGGCACAATGTTTCTTAACTGCGCAGCCCAAAAAGAGGTAAAAGAAATAGGTAATAGAAGGGGCTAGGAAGGTAGCCTTCAAAACCTGAGGGAGAGATGCTGGGTTTTACCTGTCCCCAGAGAGAAACCTATAGCCATTGTGCCTTTTTTCCTGCTGAGAATCAGAGGAAGTAGCTTGGGGTAGGGAGGGTAGAAAGAGGGAAAGAAGCCACCGCACTTCAGTCACACACACGGCTGTCAAGGTGTCAGGCAGGTGCTGACGGGTGGCTGAATCGAGCCTCCGTGAACAAAGGGTAAAGGAAGAGAAACTGGTAAAATGCAGAGTCGTGGAAGGGGCAGTAGCTTCCTAAGGTCCATAGTGATTCAGCCTGTGTGGGGAGAGGACTGGCAGTCCTGGCAGTGCCTTTTCTTCAGAGCTGAATGGCAGGCAAACCATAGAGCTTCTCTAGCCTCGTATCCTCAAAACGCTCCACTCATTTTCCCCAGAAGTTGGTCCTCTGTTCCATGGCTCACAAGCACGTCCCCTTGTGGAATGCTGTTGGTGTGGCCCCCTCCTTCAGTTCATTCAGACCACGAGAGGATTGTGCCACCCGCTCTTAACTGCCAGTCAGCGCTTTCTTCAACTGCCGTCTCCCCAGTATCTGGCACAGTGCCTGGCACATAGTAGCTCAGGAAATATTTGATTGATATGAATTGACTGAGTAAAATGTCAGGTATGTCTATAGGGAAGAAAGGAACCAGCCAAGTCCACTTTCTAGGGACCAAAATAATTGACAGGGCTTTGGAAAGAAATTTGGAGGGGAGGGATTGGGGTGAAGATGCCCCCAAAATGATGAGGGCTGTACTGACCTCTTTGCTCCTGACGTGTTAGGGGAGCTCTTGAAAACAGGATCAGAGCAAGTGGTGGTGCTTAGGACATGTGAGATGCGCAGGAATGTGGTCTGTGAGGTCCATGAAAGTTTTTGTTCTTTCAAAAGGCTTCACATTTGACTCAAGCTAGAGAAATCTGGCGGAGTAGAAAGAATATGGACTTGGAGTCAGGGTTCAAGTTAGCTTCTCCTTTTGCTTCAGTCACTAGCTACAGGGCCCCTGGGCAAGTGACTCTACTTCTTTGAACCTCAGTTTCCCCATCTGTAAAATGGGGATACTTTTATGTCTGCTGTCCTGCTGAATGTTATAGGTACCCCAAGTGAATGACATTTTCTAGGTACTCAATCTGTGGTCAAGGTATTATAGTTATATTTGGTTCTCTTAAGAAATGTAAGTCATTAAGGTCAGGTCATTTGGAATCCTCACATCCTTTCATATTTCTGGATGTGTAGAAAGCAAGATGCAATCACATATGTTCTTTCAGAAACTAAGAATATGAAACTTTTTGAGTTGCCTTTTTAAAAAAAATCTCTATTTCTAAATTTTTTTTCATTTTTTCCTTCAAAGTCTTTATGTGAACCTTTAAAATGTTTTTCTTTCTTACTTTAGAAAGATCCTGAAGTCAGCAAGTTTCTACATCTAACTTAAATCCTTCTTGTCTGAACCTTTTCTTAGTCCAAAAAGAGCTGTTGCTTTCTATATTAATCAGCTCAGGCTGCCATAGCAAAATGCCGTAGACTGGTGGCTTAAACAACACAAATTATTTCTTCCACTTCTGGAGAATGGAAGTCAAAGATTAGGGTGTCAGCCTGGTTGGGTCTGGTGAAGGCTCACTTCCTGGCTTCTAGATGGCCTCCTTCTTACTCTGTCCTTATATGGTTTCTTCTTAGTGTGTGTAGTGGCAGGGAGGTGGGGGAAGAGAAAGAGCACTTCTCAAAGCCCTCATCTCCGAATTCTACCACGCAGGGGGTTAGGATTTCAACACATCAATTTTGAGAGTACACAAAAATTCAGTACATAACACTTTCCAATGTCTGTTAACAACCCTAGATTAGCCTTCCTTCGCTGGTCAGAACCTGGTGGAGAAAGAAGTGGGAGTTTCAGGGTGTGTGAAAGAAAGGTGCCTCCCCTCCAGCCTTCTTTATTTGGAGGCTGTGAGATGATGATGATTTTGTGCCCTCTGGATTCCTGTAGCACTTACTGCGAATCAGCCTGCCAAACACTTGCACAAAGGGAGATTGCCTCATTTTCACTTAGGCTTCTAGTTAAAGATGAATCAGGATAGATTTTAATTGCTTATGACTTCCCCACAAACAGAAATTAACACGATATACTCTATTAAATTACCTGCAGCACGATCATTTTAAGAAAATGTTTTATGTTCTTTTAATGGTGCTATTTATTGTCCATAAACTTGCCAATGTAACCATGTGCCTCTCATCTAATGAAATGCACACATGGAATATTGCTCTCTGCTCCTTGAAACCACTAGGTGTTTAGCTTTTGCAGGTGGTTGAGCATACTGACAAAACTGAAGTTGATTTTCACCTTTTATGAGAAGAAGTGTGCCTTGCCACTTCTTCCATGTTAGGATTTAATATCCTCAGAAAGACGATAAAGAATAATATTGTAGGACAGAGAACCAAAATCGTGTGGATCCTGGGTGTATTAGTCTATTCAGTCTTCTATAACAGAATACCACAGATTAGGTGGCTTATAAACAGCATTTATTTTTCCCAGTCCTGGAAGCTGGAAGTCCAAGATCAAGTCACCAGCAGATTTGGTGTCTGGTGAGGCCCTGTTCCCTGGGTCATAGGTGACTGTCTTCTAACCGTGTCCTTACATGGTAGAAGGGGTGAGGGAGCTCTCTGTTTTTTTTGTTTTGTTTTGTTTTGTTTTGTTTAATAAGGGCACTAATTCCCATGATGAGGCCTACACCCTCATTATCTGATACCTGCCAAAGGCTCCACTTCTGAATACCATCACATTGTGGTTAGGATTTCAACACGGACTCGGCGGGGTGTGTGTGCAAACATTCATTTTGCACTGGGATTCTTGTTACATTTGTCTCTGGGTCGGTGGGAGAGAGGAGTCATCAGGTGACTGAGGGTTCAGCATTCTGGGTGACTTGGTGAGCATCTGGGATGACTTGAGGTCTGCATATCACCTCCCTTAGTTCTGATAGTTCGGATCTAACCCTGGCCGTTTTAGGTTTTCATTGTTCCAACACTGAATAATTTTTTTTACCTTTCTTCTTTTACCCCTTTCCCTGCCGCCCCCCAAGACCTCAGTGATAGACTGCAGGAGCTCAGGGCATCAACACAGTTGATAATTTCTTCCCATTTTCTCACCCTTTATGACTGCAGACACTTCCTTTGGTTTTGTCTTTGGAAATTGCCATCTTTTCTTGTGACTCGGTTCTCCTTTTACTACCTTGCTAAGGTGGAATTCCCTATTGACTTGCTTCCAGGTCCCTGGAAAAGTGAATTTGTTCTTGTCTCCTTAGGCGGTCCAGGCTCTTGCTTGTTGCTAACTCCATGCCCTACTGAATGGCTGCAGTTGGTGTCCTTTGGTCTTTGTCCTCTGGAGGTCTCAGAATTGCTTCCCCTTTCACTGAGATTTTGATGCCATGCCCTTGAACTGAACCACTGGGGCACTCCAAGGGATCCTTCCACCTCTCAGGGGCCAATTTATGGATCTCAGTGACCTCATCCTTCTATCTCCTTTGTGGGACCCTGTGTTAGTGATTTCTCATGCAGAACCCCTTTCTCACCTGGGAGGTTGAAGGAATTATTTATTCATTCTCTGCAGAGGTATTATTGGTGGTGGCCCACTGTATTTCAAATATGTTAGGTACTCCTAAGAAGAATCACATTCTATTTTTGTTCTGACATAGAAATGCCAAATTGGGAGAAAATTCTCAGAGGTAGAAGATTATAAATAAAATGCTAGAAAGGATGTTAGACAATATACATAATGGAACCTATTTAGTCATTAATACCTCTTTCTGTGCCTTGTGTAACTGACAGTGAGTGGCATGGGCAGAGCATTGATAACTTGGCTAGTTTTGGCAGCATCTTTCGCCTCCCATAATTATGGTAGCCTGAAAAGACTAAATAAACTGCTAAAACTCAGGGGCTTCAAGCTCAAGGTGAGTTCAGAAGTGGAGAGAATCAAAATATATGGCTCCATGCTAAAAAGCAGACATGCAAGAAATTAAAAATATAACCCCAAAGGTTTAATGTTGCCTTTTAACTGTACTTAGATTCATATTCATGCCCTAACTGCCTGTCTGAGGTGGCCAGAGTTGATATAGGGAAGATATAAACATATCTACTTCGAGTGAGTGCTTCTGCAAATCCTGTTTTGATAAGGTCTTAAATCTGTTGATCAGATCATAAAATTCCCCTGCAGTTTCAGCAGTCGGTGAACAACAAACAGTGCTCAACCAATTTTTTTTCTTTTAATTTTGCATTCAGACAGTGTAACCTCCATCTGTAAATCCCTCTCCCCCCACCACCTGGGGAAAACTGTGGGCAACATGTGGTGTGTTAGCAACATTTCAAGTATAAATATTAAGCTTGGTTGGTAAATTTTAATTTACCTTTTAATACTTTTCTGACTTACATGGACTATTTTTAGCATATGAGTGCTTAGAGATTTAGTGAAAAATATGCTGTAATAACTGGAAATGCCAGGCAAGAGTCGTTTCTAGTTTAGCCATTTATCAGATAATAAGTTCTTCATCAAAGGATATTACTTCCCAGGTAATATACGGAATTTGGGGCAGTGGATGACTGAAGATGTTGCTAATGTGATTTATACCATTAAATTACTTACAGAATGCCGACAGAATGCATGCAAATGTTTCCTGAAGAAGAGCCCTATTAAGTTTATTCTTTTTTTTCTGAAAGCAGAATCCCAAGTTTCTATTTAACTTCAGAAAATCCCTTTAGCAGGTGGCCTTTTATGGCAGGCAGGGTGTGAATTCTTACAGTTGCTGAGCATGTACCAGCTTATTATGAAATCCTGGGAAGATTAAATTCAAGAAAGAACCACCCAGTAGAACACTTTAGTCCTTTAACTCTTGTGTGGTTTGCTGTTGATACAGAAATCTATCCTTTGAAGATGGCCTCTGAATGGAAATATGCTCTGGAAAAATCCCTTATTGATGCTGCAAAGTTTCCTCTTCCAATGGAAGTATTTAAGGTAAGATGTGGGTTCATAGCAATTTGTCTACTCTTATCAAGAATGAACTGGGTAAAAAGTTTCCTTTATCGGATCATTTCCCACTGTTTAAAAAGCTGCCTTCTTGGCCAGTTTTCCATTTTAAATGTTTAAAATGTTATCTGTTCTGTTTTGCTATGTTTTGTAATCTTCACTGAGACTCATAAAATACTGATTAACATTTTTTTAGGTTTACTCTTTTTCTTCATAATGTAATTGTGTAGAAATCTCATTTTGACTTCCTCACTTATTACCAAAGAAACAAAAGAAAATAATGCAAGTCTCTGTTTCTTATTTGCTTAGTAGAAATAACAGAAACTGATGGTTGTCTTGATGGCTCAATTTCCTTGATGGCTCAAGAAACTTGTCTGAGTACCTATTGGATATTAGGCCTACTTCTAGGTGCCAATAGAAATGAAAGGAAGATACCACAACTGAAATGAATAGCCAGGCTCTCAACACTTTTAAAATCATGCTTAAAATGTATATGAAATAGAATATTAAGTTCTGGGCTGGAATGATCTGTTTAGGTCAGGAAACTATAAAACAAGCTCTTCTTATTTGGAACTTGAATATGTGGGAAAGCTGGACCACACAGTTCATTGCTGTACACTCAGTGTGGTGGTAGAAGACTGTCACGACACAAGCTTGCTTTTCAGTTCCTAGGGCACCTTTCTGCAGTGCCGCCGAAGTTTCATAGAGAAAATGAAATTACAATGGTGTGTAGGTACCAGAGTTGAAGGCTTGGGCTGGGACATTGGCATCCTGAATTTTATTTATCCTGAAGTCCTTCACTCAGAATTTTAAGCTGTCATGGCAAGTCATTAGCTTTCTTATTCAGCAGTTTTCTTGTTGGGAACATTGGACTTAGAAAGACTTCTTTTGAAACTAGTTAGAGAATTGTGTTCTGAAGTTTGATTGAATGGTGACCTTTGCAGTAATTTGAGCCTACTGTACTGGAGGAACAGCATAATATGTTGTTAGCAATAGTGATCACTGACCATGAACATTATCTTGGGCTTTTTTCTTTTCTTTCTTTCTTTTTTTTTTGCTAACTAGCCAAATACCTCTCATTTCCCTCTCCTTTCCTTTCTCCCTCCCTCCCCTTTCTAATAATATCCTCCTGCAGCAGAAAATAATAATAAAATAAAACAGCATTTACTCTTTTGTAACCTATGTGGCTTCACTGCCTCTTTTCAACCTAGGCCATCCTTGGGACTCGCTTGACCTCTGCAGCTGATCTCTACTCTCTTTACAGTGCCTTAGGAATATTTTAAATGTACAAATCTGATCCTGTCCCTCATCTTTGAAAGAACAAATTTTATTTTGTAACATATTATACACATGTGAGCTGTTTAAAGAGTAAGATAATGAAAATACAAATAGCCACCCCCCCAGCGTAGGCGCAGGCGGTGGCCTGTGCTTAGAAGCCTCCCCTGCCCCTCCCCCGACCCTCTGCTGGCTCAGCCAGGTCACCGGCACCCTACCTTTATGTTCATCATTTCCTTGCTGCTCTTTGCAGTGTTATCACCTATGTATGTTTCCCTAAATGTGATATTATTTACTTTTTACAAAATAGGAAGCAAGCACAAACCTAATTGTTTCAGGAGAGGCCACTTTCCTGCTCTTTGTAGGGGAAGATGGATGGACCACGTCTGGGTCATCAGCTGGCTAGGTATTGTAGTCTGGTCATGGCATAAACTTTCTCCAGGTACTGGGAAAGAATATGGTAGGAGTCAGCTGGTTTATATTTTGTGCTTCTATGTCTTACTCCAGTTCGGGAACAGGCCCAAGCCCAACATTTCTATGTATCGAATTGAGTGTTTTCATCTGCTCCAGGAAGCTGGGCCTAGAGCAGGGACCGGGAACTCATTTAGTGCGTGGTCAGAATGAGCCAGATACTGCGTCTGGTCTGGCATTCGGTCCTCAGGTTGCAAAACTGGGAAAACATGACAAGCCATCTTAGTGACGTCGGCCCACTGCATTGCTTCTCACTTCCAGTGAGTGCAAATGTCTTTGTCCTACCCTCCTGCTTCACTGATGGTCTGTTTGGGTGCAGAATTCTCAGGTAGAATTGGGAGGTATTCCTCCCATTGTTTTCTTTTCTTCTTGAATCTTATATTCTCTTTTCCTCCACTGTTCTGAGATTTCACAATGGCATGCATTAGTGGACATCTGTTTTCCTCCATAATGCTCATTACTTGTGGTGTCTGCAACTCATGCCTTTAATCTGGGGATATTTCTTTTAAAATGACCTCTTCTGCCTCTACTTTCTCTCCTTTGCTTTCTTGATCTGTGACTCTGAAGGCTGAGTGGGAAGCTCTCCTGAGTCTGTCCTGGCTTCTGGTGGTGGCCTATAGTCCTTAGCATCTCTGGGGTTGTGGCGCTTAACTTTCGCCTCTGCCTTTATGTTCACATGGCCTCTGTGTGTCTGTCCAAATTTCCCTCTACTGCATGGACACTGATCTTTTGATTTGGGCCTGCGGTGATGCAGTAGGACTTCAGTTTAACTTTACATCTGCAAAGATCCATTCAGGTCACACTCCTGGTTCTGGGTGGATATGAATTTTTAGGTGACACTATTCAACCCAGTGCAATCACATTTCATGTATGTGCAGTAATTTAAGAAATCATATCGTAGTGTTTTCTACTGAGTTCTACTTACACAGAGCTAATTAAGTTCAGAGAAATTGAATGGGGGAACATGGGATGAAGCTCAAACTATCTTAGCAATTGCTTCACTTTATAAAAACCAGAGAAATTTTCTGTATCAAGTGTTTAGACATTTCAGTGAGCAGTATTCCCCAGGGTGCAAAAATAGAACTTATATATATTTTTTCTCTGTTACCACTGTTTGATTATCACTGTTCTCAGCAGGCAAACTTATTTTTATTGCTTTCATTATGGTAAAGGTATGTATGTTTGGATTCATCTGAGAATCATCCTAGATCAGCGATTTTCAAATGGTGTGCCACAATAATTTTTATTTTATTTTATTTTTTATGAGTCTATTTGAGCCAAACTGATGACATATGTCAGGGATCAAGATCTCAGATGCTCCTCTCAAGAATTTTTAAAACATGCAATACCTGACTATTTAGTCAGGGGACTGACCTCTTTCCCCTTAGATTGTCAAATAAAAAAATGACAACAGCTAACAAAATAGCCGTTTGGTGTGAATGAATCAAAATTATACCTTTTTTTTTTGGCAGATCAGCAAAAAATATATTTTTTGGCATGCCGCAGAATTTTAGTAATTAGTTTATGTGTGCCATCAGATGAAAAAGGTTGTAAATTGCTGTCCTAGATACATGTCATTATAGAAAATTGCCAGTGTTCAGCGGTTCTGAGACATAAGTCAAAGCTAATATAAACACATTTAATGGACAGAGATGAGCAGTATTTCAAAGCAATTCTTTTAAATTATTTTTACACTTTAGATAAAATGGTGTTTTGATGGAATGAATCTCATTATGCTGCAGTATTTATCGTTTTGTGGAATGTGGTCATCTATCTGCACTGGGATCTGTGTATCTATGTCTGTAAATGCAGTCTGATAGAGGTAATATCTAGAATTCCCCTTTTATCAGTAGCACAAACAGTAACGATGTCAAAGCAAGCTCTTAATTATTGGTACCCTTGTTGTTTTTACCCGTGACTTGAGAGAACACTTCGAATGGCTTTTGGTTATCGTATTTTGTTGGAGATCCTGGCTTTTCTTAATAGAAAAATGCAGATAATCTTAAAAATATACATTTAGTTGAAAGATAAGTAATTAGTGAAATGGGTACCAAAAAGAATGAAGGGGATTAAAAAATGCATTTTATTGAAAATAATGAAATCAATTTTTCCCCCGAAAGCCTGCTTTATTATTAAGAGACCCAATACATTGCTAAAACAATTCATTTATTAATACTAATTTTACTCTTGAAAAATAAGTATATAGAGGTGACTACATTGCATGTCAACATGGTCTCTCCCTGGCTATTTTTTTTACTTACATGTAACCTTTGCAAGACATCGCTTGATTTATGACACACATGTCCCACTGTCAAAGTGAAATGCCCCAGTTTCAATAAAAGCTTTTTACTTTTGTCTTCATAAAGAACTACTAGGATGGATTTTCCCCAGAGTTTCTTTCTATCATCATAAAATGAAGTGATTACAGGGCTAATTGAGTGTTTTGGCCAGCGACTCCTGTACTGTTCCAGATTTCTAATTCACTAAGTAGTCACTAAGATACAATGCATGGGTTTTGGAGAATTTAGTTAAGTTTTTAAAATAAGGCCAAGGGAGACTCAAAATTAAGAGTCTAACTGTAATTGATGTAATATTTCATGTGTCAGACATTCATAAACCTTCTGTAATTACTGTTCCTTTTCATTCTCTGACGTTCTTGTGAATTGTAATCTGCATTTGTTGACCTCACTTGTTTGCAAATGTTAAATTATAGGAGCTTCACTGACAACTCATATATACATCTAAAATATCTACAAATATGAAACAGCAGTTCCCAGTTTGCCAGTCAATTGGAATAAAGCGTTTTTCCCTTAGAGGAATATAGATATGTAGCCTGGGGAAAACATGCTCTCCAGCTTACTTTACGACCACACCTTGAATTTCAAGGAAAGAACATTATTTGAAAGGGCACTAAAATCCATTATCCATTTTTAGCCATTAAAAAGCTGAAATTATTTGAACTATTTAAAAGATAGACTTTATTTTTTAGAGCAATTTTAGGTTCACAGCAAAATTGAGGGGAAGGTAGAGATTTCTCACGTATCTCCTGTCCCTGCACATGCAGAGCCTCCCCCACTATCAACATCCCCATTGGAGTTGAACCTTTGTTAGAATTGATGAACCTCCATTGACACAACATTTTCACTGAGAGTCCACAGTCTACTTTAGGGCTCACTCTTGGTGGTGTACATTCTATGGGTTTGGACAACTGTATAATGACATATACCCACCATTATAATACC